CCAAGTAGGCACCTGGACAGCAGTCACACCATGTGCCCTTGGACCTCAAGACCAACAACTCGACTCTTTGCTTGGCCAAGCAGGCACCTGGACAGTAGGCTCACCATGTACCCTTGGACCTGGAGAGCAACTACCAAGCTATCTGATAGGCCAAGCTGGTGCCTGGTAAGAAGGCTCACCTTGTGCCCTTGGATATCAAGACCAACAACTCAGCTCTGGGCTAGGCCAATCAGGCCCCTTGAGAGTGGGCTCACCATGTACCCTTGGACATGGAGACCAACAATGCAGCTCTGTGCTAGGCCAAGCCGGCAACTAGACAGTGAGTTCACCATGCGACCTTGGATTTGGATTCTTCCTTTCCCCCAGAGCATAGAGCACCCAAACAATGGGCTTGCCACTTGGTCTCTCATTATGAGACCTCCAGACCTGCTCAGCCTTGCACCGATGTGTCCACTGGATCCATGGAAACCTGGGAGTCTTCAAACTGTGATTCCTCCATTCCAACCTATCACTGCGCTACAGAGACGCAGGGATACCAGCCTAAACCAAGTTCCTCTGAATGTGTGCCTTTCAACTCTGCAGACAAGGGGACATTGGAGTCCCTTCTCACCTTGGATTTACTTCAGTTTGATGTCCACGTGGCCTGCTATCTGTGCATTATTCATTTTGGGGGGAGTTCTCCTCCTCAGAAGAAAATGGCACCATGCCTTGGGAAATGAAACAGTTCAGTGGTTTGAAGACTTTGTATTAAAACTCAGGGCAGGAAAGGAGAAGGGGGGATGGGAGGGCATTGGGGAGACCCAGGCCTGGAGAACTATGGAGACATTGTCTGAGATCCTCCAGTTGAAGGAGAGGTGCTCCATCCTCAAGGGAGAGGTGGAGGTCTTAAAACAAGAGGCCAAGCAGTGCAGTGAGAGGCAGGCACAGCTCCATGAGGTGGAGAGGTTCTTCATGCAAATGAAAGTCTTCCTGGAAGTTTCTGCCTTACAGAGTGTGACGCCTGTGCACCCACCCAGGATAGCATAGAAGGGGAGCTGGGAAAAGTGTGGTCATCTCCAGGATTGGGGGTTGGTACAAATGTGAATATTAGTTTAATTAATAATAAAAATAGTTATTTTTAAAAAAACAATTTAAAAAATGATCATTTCTGAATGAGCAATTTATGAGAACCATCCTTGGGGGATTGTAATGTGCAGCCTGGCTTGCAGTCACTACCGTCCCTTCTGAGTCATCACATTCTCCTGATGCTGGGCAGGGGTCTCCATGGCTCTGAGAAAGTGTTGGTGAATCATGCCCAGCTGACACAGCATAACCTGCCTGCCCCGTCAAAACATTCAGACATACTTATTTCTGGATCTCAAGCACAGCTGTTGAGGTCAGCACCGTTCTTATTGGAAGAAAAGGAGAAGCAGTATGTCTATATCCAGGTATTTCTGCATAAAGCGTTTCTGGCTGAGACCTCCCAGCACATTGTTGCTAAACTTGAGGTTGGACACTGATGTTATGGCTTCCAACTGTGGCCATGACAGCAGGTGTTTCTCCACAATAGGTTTCTGTGTGATACAGGCCTTTGAAGAGCAAATGTTACAAGGCCAGGGAACCAGGGTGAGGGAGTCCAGAGGCATGGGACCATTCCCTGTCTCTCGGTGAGAAGGTGTGGGGTCTGGACGGTAGGCAGAGTGGTGTGAGGGGCCAGGATGGTGGGCTCTGTTGTGTCCAAAGAAACACCACAGGAATTGGGGGAGACATGCGGGATTCACATTGGGTGCTTTAGGTGCCTGGCTGTTTGCACAGAGTAAGGCACAGTGCGAGAGAGGTGGGAATAGGTGCACCTTGCAGACTGTAGGGTCTGCTTGGGTATGAAGGAAAGGGACCCCTTCCAAGAGGCAGAGCCGAGATTCTATGATAAAGTGGACACTGGGGGTCAGAAGGGAGTAGGAAGGTGAGATTCTAGGATGGCCCATCCTGAGAAATGTTGTTCCTTCTTAGCTCCAGGGATGTGCGCTGGAAGCTCAGGTGAGTTGCAAATCCCTGTGAGCTGGGGCCCACCTGTGGCTCCTGCTGAAGTTGCATGGGAAGAGCCTAGAGCTGTGGCCCCTGGGCTGAGCTCAGTCAAGGCAGTGTGCTCATAGCAGCTGGGCATAAATGGATGGAGTCATGCAGAATCTCCTTCTCGGGTTGGGAAGTGAACATCAGGGGGCCTTAGGAAGTGGGAGGCTTGACTTCTAAGATGGATGGTGTCTGAGCTAATTTGATAGCACTGCTTTCAGGAGCCAGTGTGGAGGCTGGTGGAGTCCAGGTCACTTCGATGTAAGGGGGATATGGGTCGCTTATGTGATCCCAGCACTTGGAACTTCCTGTGCTTAGCTGCTCACACCCTGCTCAATATACCCTGGTTTCCACAAACATCAGGCTCCTGGGTGGCTGGTACCCCAGAGTTGCTCACCTCTTGAATCCCCTTTCCTTCATCACTAAAATGCGGGCAACTTGGTTGGGGTGGTGGTTTTTTAGCAGGAGGCCAGAGAAGGTGGGGTTGGGGAGGTGATCCTCAAGGACAGGGGATAGATGCAGCCAAGGGGAGGGAGAGAAGAAGGGGAGGAGACTCTGAGCCAGGTCCTTGTGCCGGCCTTTCCTCTCCCAAGGCAAAACATCAGCTCTGGGAGGACAACATTCTGCGTGCTGTCTCAGTCCCACACCTGGCCTTTTCTGCCCCTGAGGGTCACAGCGCATCACAGCCCAGCACCTGCCCAGTAACAGACCAGCCCCAGACCCCTCCTGCTTCTTTCACTGCTGCCTGACACCCACATCTTAGGGTTCTGGGGCTCTTAGGGATACTTGGAGATCCAGAGAGCCAGGGTGGGACTGCTAGTCTTAGGGACTCTTCTGAGGTGTGCTGACAGGTGGAGCACCTGCTACAGAGAGGTAGGGAGGTAGAGGGGTCGATTTACAGATTCACAGAAAGCTGCCGGTAGTTCAGAAACGTCCCTTCACAGAGGCACTCTTCACCCCTTTGTTTCTTTCTAGTCTTTCGTCTATTACAAATAAACCTACAGTGAACCATTGTGCAGAGTGAGTCATGGGATCTTAACTTTTCTTTTCTGGGATGAAGGTCCAGGAGAGTGCTTGCGAGGTTATAGGGTTTATGTTTCACTTCTATAGAACCTATCAAACTGTCCTACCAGCGTTCCTGTTCCATTTACATTCCCACCTGAAATGTAGTACTGTATTTTATATTAACCAGCTGTCCTAACAGGTGGGTAGTCATGATAACTCTCAGGTTTTAATTTGCATTTCCCTCATGGCTAGTGAGTTTGTACATTTTTTCTTGTGCTAATTTTCCATCTGCATGTTCTCTTTGATGTAATATCTGATGGGCTGTACCTTCATTCTCCATCTCTTGACAGCTCATCCTTCCCAAGGCTGCAGCACAGGGAGGGAGGGGCAGGAAAGTGGGCTGGAAGCTGAGCAGTCCTTAAGTGCGCTCCTCCACTCCTGGGTCCACCAGGAAGGCAGGGGCAGGACGCTGGTTTGGAGGGTACACCCCCCTGGTGCCGCCCCTCCCCTGCAGTCCTGACAGTGGACAGAGGGGTGGGGAGTGCTGCTGAAGGGCTGTGATATGAGGAAGTAAATGCCCTTCAACTGTGGGATTTGGCCAGAGTCGAAGAAGGTGGACGGAGGAACAGAAAAGGGGGTTTGGGAGCTTTGGCTGCTCACTGCACAGCCAAGGCCCCCAGGGCTGATGAAGAGGCTGAAGGGGTGTGCGTTCATTCACTGGGCTTCTCACTGGAGTCCAGGCAGAGCGTGCGGAAGACGGGAGAGGGCGCAGGATGTGGGATGGAAATGCTGTGCCTCCTTTTCCTAAGTCTGTTTTCTGACCCAGGAAATTTGTGTTCCTGAGTTTAACAAGGGAAACATGTGCCTTGAGCTTGCTCCCTGCTCAGAATTCTCACAGATGAGTGTTCACGCCATGTGCTCTCCACACCCCCTGGCTTTTCCTATGCCTGGCAGGTCTGAGGGTGGTTACCAGGTGCCTTCCTTCTCTGGGAGCACTGCCTGGTTGGCTCTAAAGGGCGGCGCCTGGCCATCCACGCCTGTCCCCGTCCTGCTCCGGTGCCCTCCTCATTTCAAAGTTAAGGAGACGGTGTTGGCGTGGTGTCGGGCAGTCACTGGAGATCGAGTGGGCAACCTCTCTGCCAGGCTTGGCTCTGCTTACCAGCTGCTGAGCTCCCCCAAGTCTGCGCCCTCCAAGGACACCGTTTGGAAAACACACTTAAACCCAGCAGTCGGGGCCGAGTAAACCTAGGAACCACCTTAAATAATAATGATAATATGCTATGTGATTCCCAACCAGTGTGACTTTCCTAAGTGATCAATGAACCCAGCTTCTCATTTCCGTGTCGCCTGGCCCAGCTACATCTCTGCGGATTGGAGGGCACCAAGGAGCAATGCCCTGCGAGCGGGGACTGTGCGCACAGGACGCGATCCTCTTACCGCAGCTGCCCGGCGTCTGCCGGGGGAGACAGTGCAGAGCTGCGAACACACACCTGCAAAGGCGGCAGCGGCGGCAGGTCCAGGCTCCGGGTATCAGGGCGCCGCGTTCCCTGAGTGGACAGAGAGGCGGCACCAGCGGGGTGGGCGCGCATGCGCTACCCGCGCCCCTCCACGCCCCGCCCTTCGTGTCCGCGCCCCTCCACGCCCCGCCCTTTGTGTCCGCGCCCCTCCAACCCACGCCCCTCCACGCCCCTCCACGCCCCCAACCCCTACCCCGCGCCCTCCGCCGGCGCCCGCTCCCCTCCGCAAGGTCAAGCCCCGCTGCTCCCCCCGCCCAACGCTCAGCCCGCTCCCGCAGGCACACACCTCTGCCTCGGGTCGTGCTCGCAGTAACGGCCGGCGCGGTGGGCGGGGCCTACGCAGCAGGTGCCCAGGGCGCAGGCGCCGCCCTTCCTGCAGCCGCGCAGCGGCGGGGGCGCGCCTGCTGGGGGGAAACCTGGGTGCTGGCGTCCGCTGCCTCCTGGCCCTTCGCGGTGACGCCCCCGAGAGCGCCTCATGAGCCTGCCCCGAGAGGCAGGAAGCTTCACCTCCAGGCCCATGTGTGTTTGCTCAGGTAAACCCTGCTTGTTACCTTGAGGATTCAAAACGAACTGCCAGGGGTCCTGGAGGGTCAGGAACCGGCTCGGGACCCAAGGAGAAACCCTGGCCCCAGCAAGGAGCATTTTCCCTCTTCCTTCCTTTCGTATGTTAAAGTCAGGCTGTGACTTGCCTGGACAGTGATTAAAACCAGGCCTTCAGGGCGGGGACCGCCCACAGCTTTTGACGACCACAGAAACCCCTCCCAACCCCTTGTCCCCCCCAGAGGGACATCATCGCCTGGGGTCTGGAGCCGGAGGGTCTGCAATAAGCCGAACAAGGTGCGCTTTGCACTCGGAGTGGGATAGTTGCTTGGAATATGTTTCCATCACACTCCTCTAGCCCTGTGTGCAAATACAACATTGTATCCATGAAAGGGCACGACTTGTTTTCACAGCAGAGGAGCACGTCGCTCGGACACAGTTTTCGCTTTATAGTACCTCATCATGTGAAGATGATAAAATGAGCTCTGTTGGGGTTTTCATTTTATTCTTAATGTATTCCAGGCTGCTCTCAGATCCTAAACTGGGAGACCAGTGACGGAGATGACCACAAAGCTACTTGGGGGACAAGGCGACTTACCACCTTGGAAAGCCCTGAGGTAGGGACTTGAGTCCTGGGGCCGCCAGCCATCCATGCTTCCACTCCCCTCCCCAGAGTTATTGAGGGTCCAGTTGAGTGTTTTCTGCTGGAGCTTCTGGGCTGTAGCATGGTTGATTTCTTCTCTGTTATCCTTAGGTTTCTCTCCGTGATGACCTTTTGAAAACATTGAAAGTATGAGACTGATGATGACCAAACAATAAATATACAATAAAAAGGGAGTATAAATAAAACGATTCTTACTCTTGTCTCCCAAGTGGGTGATGTGTAATGCCAAACTGACAAAAAACAGAGGCCTAGAGTGTTTAAAGAGAATTATTGAAGTTTAAAATATTAAAAGTAGAAATGTACATATGCTTAAAATGTAAAGCAATCATATATAAACATAAGTATATTCAATGTGTAATGTATAATAAATATTATGCCATCATTTTGTAACTTGTAGATGTAACTTAATTAATGTTGTTGTGACTTAGATTTTGAGACCAAGGAAGTGTGCATGTCCCTTAATGAGAAGGAACATTTGTGCATGCACTGCAGTTTACTTATTCTGGAGGCTTTGGGATGCCCCTCTTGGCCCTGAGATCTGGATGATGTGTGTCCTTACCTAACAGGGTGTCTCCGGGTCCTTTCCCACTGACAGGTCTGGTATAAGCGTCTCTTTCTCTCTTCAGTACATTAAAGATCAATTTCCAAGGAAGTGTAGCTCTGTTTCCAAGGAAGTCGAGTCTTACCGGGTTTTGTATTTGAAGGGATCTTTACTCCAGGTCGTGGAATAACTGCATTAGGACATAAGACGGGTAAGGAAAGAAGAAACAGATCTTTCCTCTTCTTCTCTAGGCCGTGAGAAACAGCAGTGAGATCTCTGCGTTCTGCTGTGGAAGCCCATTAGGCACTGAGCTGCTGTGACAGGCAGGGCCCATGCTGAGCCTCCAGGACTGTCCCCTCAGTGAGACCTGGTGGGGGTGGGGTGAGGGCTGGAGACTTGGGCTGATTCTCCCCTCAGTGGTGTCAACAGGGCTGACAGCAACAGGAGTAGTCAATCCCTGATGTCAGCATTGGTGGCTAAGGCAACAAGCCTTTCCCTCACCGAAAAAAACAAAACAAAACACAAAACACAATTAAAATCCCAACAAGAAAAGTTTTCACAGGAAAATGGAAATTTTATGCCGCATACCCTTGTATATTGGTGAGGGCCCAGCTAGAGAAGGGAGCCCTTGGGTGGGACATGGGTCCCAAAAGTCTTGACTGGGGAGCATGAATATAAAGGGAGACATTTCCCCAGGAATGATTTCTGAGGATGTATCGATCCTTCCACAGACAGCCTTTTCTCTCTGCCCAGCACAGTGGTGACTGTGTCATATACGTTACCCTTTAATACAGCATGCCTCTGGGGCAGTGTTTTTATGATCCCCCATGTAAAAGGAGAGGCAACAGAGGCTTAGTTTAAGTCCCTGTGGCAGTTAGATCTTCAAACAATAGGTAATTTTATGAGAAGAAGCCTACAGGCTGCTCAGTGTGTGAAGACCACGGAGTTGGGAGGGCACTCCCCCACTCACTGTCTGATGTTAAGCTCTGGATCCAAGAAGGGAGTGATTGCCAAAATCAGGCCTTGGGCCCTTTTATCTTCACTGAAGAGGATGCTTTGCCACTCTGGGGCAAATCGTTCTGTGATTTTAATATAAAAACAGCTTTCTAGAAATAGCCTGCTTCCTCCAAGGATGAAATAGTCTTTGATACTGATTTAAATTTCAGAACCTTTAAATGTGAGATTTACTCCAGAGGCTGACAAATAAAGCAATAGAGCCAAGGGAATTGGTGAGGCTGGCTCCTGTGGGCCTCCCAAGGACTAGTTCTATGAGCTGCCAGGACCCCGGTGGGAACAGGAGACCTGGCTAGGCAAACCCTCTGGAGGAGGACCCCTCACACCTTCGGGCAATCATCTGTGATTGCAGGCATGGCAAATACCTTTGAACCTAATGCTTATTACTTGTTCGCTGCATAGTTTAGTTATATATAAAAGTATATGACTCTAAATCAAGAGAAACTCTTTTGAGCAAAATGGGTTATACGCTAAAATAAAACCATGTGTAGTCTAAAGGGCTATACTTCTTTGAATAAGAAATTTTAAAACTTCAGTTTACATGATAATATCGAACGAATTCAAACCATTCTTATGACATTCACGTTCTAAGACTAGTATCCAATATTGTATTTCCTCCCATACTGCCTTTCATTATATTTTGTTTGTGGTCGCTTTTGAATATACCCAAGAAGCAGGATAATGATTCACTGAACTGGGGTTCAGAGATTAAGTGTCAACCTTTGCCAATCTCATTTATTCAGCACCCACCCCCCATTTTTTTTTTTTTTCTGGAGTCTTTGAAACCAAATCTCGGAAATCATGATAACTTCTGTGTCAAATAAGGTTCTGAAAATATACACTTTACAAGGAACCTGTAGGAAAAGCAAAGGAAATGTCTTGCCAGCAAAACAGGATTGAGAAGCCAGAAAGAAGGATGGAATGTCCTGTCTCTGGCTGTTTGCCTAAGGCAGCTCCAGGAAGGGAAAGGGCTGTCACGTGCTCTCATTTACCCACAGGTATTGTCAAAAGTGCTTTGCATTTCAGGGCAGAGAAGCCCAGGTTCCCTTGGTGAGCAAGGCCCAGCTGGAAGCAGCTGCCTGAGAAGGGCTGGAAGCCTGGTGTGGGGCAGCGGATCCCTGGCTCTGGGGAAGGTTCTTCCTTGTTATCAGCTGTAAACAGATAAGATTGGAGCCAACCTACCCACCAGACCTCCAGTGGAGCTCCTGACTCCCTTTGAGCTGACACAACATGTGTGGGAAGTGGGACACCCTGTCCCAGGACTGAAGACCACCCCACCTCTATGTCCTCAGTACTTCAAACAAGCTCTGGGGGAAATGTTCTGCAACAAATCAGGTGTAAAGGAATTGTCTGAGAGTGCGAAAGCAGTAGTTTTCAATGTGTACTGCCTATTGGGGTCTGAGGGGAAGCTCTGAATCCCTCCTAAAGCCACACCTCAAGGCCTCCTGCTCAGAATCCCTGGGCAGAGCCCAGCATCAGGATTGTTTACCGCTCGGGGAACTCCACTGTTTAGCCAGGACTGTGATTCTGCGGTCTGTGTTCTAGGTGGCTCTGTGCCCCCAGGGCTGGGAGTGCTCCTTTCTTGTCCTTGCATTCCTACCTTGTGGCCCAGGGCCTGATGTATGGTACCACACAATCTGGTGGTGTTCTTATGATAGAGGAATAAGTGGATTATCACACCTACACCCATCTTTCAGTGAGGGAATTGAGACGTGCGAAGTTAAGAAACTGGCCTGGGGATGTGTGACTATTGGCTGTGTGGAGGCTTGAACCCAGGCTCATCTGATCTACACTCTGGTTTGATTCAAGTTGCTTTATTTTATTGTTTAATGTGGACCAGGCATACTATTCTCACTGAGTCACACAGATTGTTCTATTTTAGTGGCATCCATTCTTATGACACAGACATTGATTTCTCCATTTTGTAGGTGAGAAAATTGAAGTTTCAAGAGTTGAGGGCTTGGACAGTGTGCCTCACAGCCTCGGCCCAGGCGGTGAAAGCTGAGCTACCCCTCGCAACCAGGACAGTGTGCGGCGCACCCCTGCTGGGGGCTCAGGGCTTCTGCGTGGGCACAGTGGAAAAGACTGGGTGGAGAGTCACTGCCCCAGTTCTGCAGGTAAGGCAGGGCTTTCTAGAGCAGGAAGTATTGATTTACCCCCACGGGGCAGTTACAGGGCAAAGTTACAGGACGTGGGCTCTGGGGGGCAGTGTTGAGAGCACTGCCTGCCAGAGGGAGGGAGGTCTTGTGGGAATGACAAGCAGGACCACCAGGGTCTTTAGGAGGGGTGGAGGGCAGGAGGAGGAGCCGTGGGTGGAGCCAGGTGATGCAGGAGGAACTACCGCATAGAAAGGCCAGACCCTGGGGAAGCTCTTGGATGCTTATGCAGGAAGTCATGAAGACCCCGGTAGGGATCAAGTGGGGATTAAGAGAAAAGAATAAACTCTAAACAGACTTAACGACCAGTATCATTTTTCTCTAATTTTGGAAGATGTAATGTATTCTGATGTTAGGGTTAGGGTGGCCGGTGCCGCGGGCGGCAAAGAATTGCACAAAGAGGGGCACCTGGGTGGCTGAGTCATTAAGTGTCTGCCTTCGGCTCAGGTCATGATCCCAGGGTCCTGGGATGGAGCCCCGCTTTGGGCTCCCTGGTCAGCGGGAAGCCTCCTTCCCCCTCTCCCACTCCCCCTGCTTGTGTTCCTGCTCTCACTATCTCACTCTCTGTCAAATAAAAAAATAAAATATTTTTTTAAAAAATTAAAAATAAATAAGAATAAATTTTAAAAAAGGAATTGCACAAAGAGTAGAGCCACAAGCAGGACAGAGTGGGTTCACTCTCCCCGGGACGAGAGGGGCCAGACACCAAGAGACATGTGAGCCCCGATTTCTGTGAGGCTGGGCCTTTTGAGGGGTGTTGAAGGTCGTGAGAGGGTTGCAGCCGTGCCCATGGGGGTGAGGGGAGGGGCTGATTCTTGGCCAGGTAGAGCAGCAGGTAACAGGTTTTCGAGGTGCTCTGACCTGGATGTGGGGTATGGCCAGGCTAAAGAAGAATGTGTTTTGTAGTTGGGGTCTCCTTTCAGCATGTAGGGCACTGTGACCTAGAAGAACAGGCAGGGCCAACTGCAGACACTGGTGAGGGTCACCGATTATCAACGCAGTGAAAAGACAACATACTGAATGGGAGAAAATATTTGCAAACTGCCTAACTGATAAAGGCTTAATATCCAAATTATTAGAGACTCATACAACTCAATAACACAAAAACAAATAGAAGTTACAAAATTGGCAGAGTTCAGAATAGACATTTTTCCAAAGAAAACATGCAGATGGCGAAGAAATACATAAAGAGAGGTTCAACACCATGTGTCACCAGGGAAATGCAAATCAAAACCCAAAGAGATGGCACCTGACACCCGTCAGAAATGCTAGTGGTAAAAAGACCAGAAATAACACGGGTCGACCAAAATGTGGAGGAAAGCTCTGCTGTTGGGATTGTCCATGGGTGCAGCCACTATGGAAAATGGTATCAAGTTTTCTCAAAAAATTCAATGTGAGGGGCTCCTGGCTGGCTCAGTCAGAAGAGTGTGTCACTCTTGATTGTGGGTCGTGAGTTCGAGACTCACGTTGGGGATACAGATTACTTCAGGGAAACTAATTTCAAAATAGGATAACCATATCATCCAACAATTCCCCTCCTAGGTGTTAAAATCAAGGAAACTGAAATCGCTAACTCATAAAGATACGTGCGCACCTGCATTCATTGCCACATAATTCATAACAGCCAAGGGGACGTACTAAGTGAAATAAATCAGAAAGAGAAAGACAAATACCACGAGTTCACATATATGTGGAATCTAAAGCAAACCAGAAAACAAAAAACACAGTAACTCTCACTCATAGATACAGAGAACACATACATGATTTGCCAAGGTGAGGGGCAAGAAGTGGATAAAATAGGTAAGAAGGTAGAAACTAACCAAAAAAGGGAATATTAGGGCACCTGGTTGGCTCAGTCAGTTGGGCGGCTGCCTTCAGGTCAGGTCATGACCTCAGGGTGCTGGGATGGAGCCCCACATCGGGCTCAGCAGGGAGTCTGTTTCTGCCTCTCCCTCTGCCCCTCTCACCCCTGCCTCTCTGTGTGCTCCCACTCTCTTTCTCTCAAAGAAATAGATAAAATTTTTAAGAAGGAAAGTGTATGTCAAGAGGGAAATTGGAGAGCATATAGGACATCAATATATTACCTTCTAGCTTCCTATAGTTCAAGTACCTTAGTGAATTTATTCTATTTCCTTCCATTCTTCTGACCTACCAGAATTCCTCATTATGATGTGGTTGGATTTTTTGAGATGAGTTGTCTATTTCCGTAACTATTTCAGATCAGTAAGTACAGAGTATTTACCTTCCTGGGTGTGTGAGTCTTTGGATATTTTTATAGCCTTTTGAAGTATAATTATGTAACCAAAACTTCCATAGATCTAAGTGTATAATTTCAAGACTCTTGATTTATGTACATACCAGTAAAACAATCACTGTAATGAAGGTGATGTACATGTATCCATCACCCTAAAATGATTTTCCCCCTTGTTTTATAGTCCATGATTAGCTTGATGTGTAATTTCTGTTGGTCCCTGCAGAGTCACTCTTTCCTCAGGGAGAAGTTTTTCTATAGGATGAAAGAATTGCTTGACTTCATTGCTCTGTATTGATAGGAGCTCATAATAGAAGTTGATCTAAAGATAAAATTGTGGGCGACTGAGTGGCTCAGTTGGTTGAGTGTCTGACTCTTGATTTTGGCTCATATCACGAACTTAGGCTTGGGAGATTGAGCCTTGCATTGGGTTCCATGCTGAGCATGGAGCCTACTTGGGATTCTCGCCCACCCCACCCTTCCCCATGCCCCCACTTATGGTCACTCTCTATCTCTCTCGAAAAAAAAAAAGAAAAGAAAAGAAAAAATTTTGAAAATTAGCCATTTAGAAAGTTCCGAGGCCTTTCCTGAAGGAGAGATGATACACTGACAGCTTAGAGAACCTAGCCCTTCTGTGTTGGCCAAAGCCTGAGTGGCAGGGCTGGAATATGTTGTGAGAGTGGTAGACCAAAGGGACAAAATCAAGATATGGATTGGACTGAATTCATTGATAGGAATATGCTCAGTTAAGAGTTGATAATTAAAGGACGACCCTGACCACTTGCACGTGGTGTTGATATTCTGGACGCTATATTGGGTCAATAAGGGCCAAATGTTGGGATTTCCTTGGGTATACCGTTGAGGAAGGCAGGAAGAAGTCAGGAAGCATAAGAATCAGGCATGTTGAAACGGTTCTGTGATGTGCCGTGTGCTCAGCCATCCCTAATCGTGCTTGCTGAAAGACACAGCCATCCATGCACTACCTTCATCAACACACTTACAGAGGCATGGGTACGGGAGGTACCAGTGTCCTTGAGGAGCTCTGGGGGAGCTGTCCTACACTGCAGGAGAAGATGGGAGGTGAGGAGTGGCAGGAGAGGATGCTTCATCCAGCAGAGTCAAGGTGTGTGCAGTCACCCAGGAGCCACGGAGCCAGAATGGTAACCAGAGGACGGGAACCTCAAGGGTGTGTGCTGTTGGACAGTTGATCAGGTCTGTCCAGATTGAAATTGTTGGGCAATGTAGCAGAAAAAATAAATATCTAGATTGAGTAGTTACTATAGTGAAGAGTCATGGTCTCTTCCCCAGCTATGAGCCCTAAGCCAGTGTGGGCCTCTGAGCCCCTAGAGTGAAGGAGAGACTGGAGCCCTTTGGGAAATGACCCTACCACCTTCTACATGTGTGCCATGCATCTCATCTCCCACCCCCAACTTTCCCCAAATGTCCCCCAAGACACAGATATTCACTGGTGGGACCAACTCTGGAAAAAAGGGAAACACTACCTTTTCTGGGAACTTTTATAGAATGATTCCAAACATAGATTGATGCCCAAAGACCAGGACTGTTACATGACCTGCCCAACAGTTGGAGTAGGGGCTTTGGAAAGTGTGGAAATAGAAGAAGCCTTGTCCTACATTTAACAGTTTGTTCACTGAGACCAGAGAGTCATCCTGTGCTCATTTCCCCAGGTCAAGAATGTGGAATGGAAATACTCATATTAGCACTGGTGGAATTCCCACTTTGGTTTCTGAACCTTGGTCTGATGTTTATTAGGAAAGAGGAGATCAAAGAGAGGCCTTTGGGACCATGCCCTTCCTCAGACTAAATCAGAGGCCATGCAATATCCTTGGAGGGATGGGAGAGATTAGTAAGATTGTGAAGCTCTGCAGAGAGGCAGAGTGGGTTATTTGTTCATTTTACTAGGCTGGTCTACTGTGGATACCAGATGGGTCACGGAGACTCACCCTGACTTTCACAAACTTCATTAGATGAAGACACAACTGCATCTGTGATTCTGTCTCTAGATTGCCCTGTGGAGGCAAACTGCCAGGTGGAACCCTGCAGCCCACTGGGAACAAACCTTTTACCCTGAGGTACTGCTTCTGAAGGAAGGTCTATGACCAGCAAAGTCAACAATACAAGCTTAGAGCCACATTAGGTCATCAGTGATGAAAGCAGACTAGACAACTGTCAAGATGGGCCATCTCTTAAGAAAGGAGATTTGGTAAATATACTGAAAAATATCCTAGCCACAAAAGACAGCAGACACACAGACATACTGAGCTGGTGAGTGGCTGAGGGGAGAATTGCCTCCATCACCTGTTGGTTTTAAATTATCGAGTGCCTGGGGAGCCACGCACCCCAGTCGCTATTTTGAGTATAACCTCCCTCATAGATAGAAGTGAATTCTCTTTCTTACCCCAACAGAGCTGAACTTGATTGGACATTCGGAAGCGGTCACTGAAAGGAAGTAGAAGACCCATGGCAATGATCCATGAGCAAAACTTCTCTGCTACCCCGGGACACCCATTCTCCTGTTGGCCACACAGCTTCTGCAGCAGAGCTCACTCTGCAGAAGAAAATGGTCAATAGGAGGTCGCACTGGCAGGTCACTTGGCTCAGAAGTCTCCCAGAGGAGCGAGGTCTGGTAAGCACAGCCAGTGGGCATCACCATTGCCGAGGCTACTGATATGTGCACAAAACAACACGGAGGGGCACAGAGAAAACTCTGTGGTCCAAGGCCTGGGATACCACATGGAAAAGGGCAGCCTTGGTTTGCTCTCCCATCCCTCCAAATACCTCCTGCCTCCCTGGGGGATGGGCCAGGTGATGGGCTGTACATCTTCCTTCAGAAGAAGCACCCAGCATTTTGGATTTCATGGGTGACCTTCCTTCTCTTTCTGTTTACGTGCTGACGGTGCTCTGAGGGAGCCCTTAGCAACCACCATTTGGGCAAAGAAAGGTCAGAGACTGACAATCACAGGTGGCCATGGGGAGGGGCAGGAAATGAGAGACTGAGAAGAGATGAGAGCTGGCCAGCAAATGTGTTACCCTGAGGAGGAGCATGCTAGAGAGAAAACAGAGGTTTCTCACCTGCTCCTCAGAACCATAGCCCTAGGGTAGGTGCAAATTTCTGTTTCCTACGATTTCCTTAGTAGAGACAAGAGAAAAAGACATAATGAGATGAGAACACAGACCAAGGACCCCAGAGGACCTGGGTCCACCAAGTTCTCACATAGGATGTGAGGAATAGTTCACATAGTGCAAACCTGTAAATGGACTATCATAGACTCATAAAAATTATGTCAGTAAGCATGTATTATACCAGGGAAAATCGAAAACATAAGAAAATGAATATAGAGTGAAAAGAGAAGTAATTCTTTTTTTAAGTAAACTATTTTTTTGGTAGGCTGCATGCCCAAAGCAGGGTTTGAACTCACAACCTTGAGATCAAACCTGAGGTGAGATCAAGAGTCAGACACTTAAGCAACTGAGCCACTCAGGTCCACCACCCTTTTTCTAAGGTATTAACTGGCCAGGATGGGAGGGGCAGGGACAGCTGCCTGGTGATTGGCCAGGATGGGAGGGGCGGGGACAGCCGCCTGGTGACTGGCCAGGATGGGAGTGGTGGGGACAGCCGCCTGCTGATTGGGCAGGATGAGAGGGGCGTGGCCAGCTGCCTGGATATTGGCCAGGATGGGAGGGGCGGGGACAGCTGCCTGGTTACTGCCCAGGATGAGAGGGGTGGGGACAGCCACCTGCTGATTGGGCAGGATGAGAGGGGCGGGGACAGCTGCCTCCTGATTGGGCAGGATGAGAGGGGCGTGGCCAGCTGCGTGGCGATTGGCCAGGAGGAGAGGGGAGGGGACTGCTGTCTGGTGACTGGCCAGGATGAGAGGGTGGGGACAGCTGCCTGCTGATTGGCCAGGATGAGAGGGGCGGGGACAGCTGCCTGCTGATTGTCCAGCATGAGAGGGGCGGGGGCAGCTGCCTGGTTATAGGCCAGGATGAGAGAGGCGGGGACAGGTGCCTGGAGATTGGCCAAGATGAGAGGGGCGGAGACAGCTACGTGGTGTTTGGCCAGGATGAGAGGGGCGGGGACAGCCGCCTGTGATTGGTCAGGATGAGAGGCGCGGGGACAGCTGCCTGGTGACAGGCCAGGGTGAGAGGGGCGGGGACAGGCGTCTGGTGATTGGCCAGGGTGAGAGGGGCGGGGACAGCTGCCTGGTAATTGGCTAGGCTGAGAAGGGCAGGGAGTGCTGCCTGCTGACTGGCCAGGATGAGAGGGGAGGGGACAGCTGCCTGGTGACTGGCCAGGATGAGAGGGGCGGGGCCAGCTGCCTGGTGATAGGCCAGGATTAGAGGGGCGGGGCCAGCTGCCTGGAGATTGGCCAAGATGAGAGGGGAGGGGACAGCCACCTGGTGATTGCCCAGGATGAGAGGGGCGGGGACAGCTGCCTGGTGATTGGCAAGGATGAAAGGGGCGGGGACAGCTGCCTGGTGATTGACAAAGAAGAGTGGGACAGAGAAAGCTGCCTGCTGATTAGTGAGGGAGAGCGGGGCAGCGACAGCCAAATGGTGATTGGCCAGCGAAAGCGGGGCAAGGACAACTGCCCGGCTCCTGCCAGTGGGTGAGGGCAGGGACAGCCGCCTGCTCTTTGGGCAGGGACCGCAGGTGAAGAAGGCTGCCTGGCGACGGGCCAGGGATTGGGGGGCGGGGACATCGCCTCCTGCTCCGCCAGGGCCTGGTGGTGACTTAGGGGTCCTCGTGCAAGCAGTCACCAAAGCCAGGACCCCAGCGCTCCGGGGGGAGCGAGGACTCCACCTCTGCGCCCCGCCCGTCCCCCGGGCGCCCGAACGCACACACGCAGCCAGGAGCAGCCCGGCCTCCCTCACGGCGCCCTGCATGCCGACCCACCTCCCTGCTCCAACCCACGGTTTACAGAACAGAGCCCACGCTCGTTAACGGGACACCGTGACCCACACGGAGAGCAGCCGACCGCCCTGCGCCCCTGCAGACGCTCCCCAGGCGGAGGCCGCTTGCCCAGCCCACTCCCTGCCCTCTGACACCCGCCCACACGCATCGTGGGCGCCCAGCCCCACCCTCTCCCTCGCTGGTCCCAGAGGCCGCCTCTGCCTGTCCACTCAGCATCCCTGCCTGGTCCAGCCGAGCTGGCTGCAAGCTTTGTGCACCAGGCCCCGAGCACCGCACTCCATACTGCCTTCCGAGAATGTGAGCCCGGAGGATGCAGACCTTGCATGGGACGCAGAAACCTCCCCCTGCCTCCTGGCAATGCACCGTGACCACCTACTTGGCTCCCAAGCGGTGCCCCCATTGCCAAACAGGGAAGAAGTGGCTGCATGGACCCTCCCACCCCAACACAGGCAGTGACTCTGTAAGACGCTGGGAAGATCAGGCCACGGAGCACAAAGAATCACCCAAACCAGAAAAGTACGGCATCTGTACCCAGACGTGGGAAATTTGAGGCTACTACCCAGGCGCAAATCCCCCCTCCGGTAGAGGGTCCAGGTGTGGGGTGTCTGTGAAGGGAAATGCCGTTCCCTCTGTTGGGGGCTTACTCCCTAATGTCAGTGGTTTGGGGCTGGATGCCAAGACCTGGCTGGTGCTTGCCGCCATCCAGAGTGCAGTACCCATGGTGGGTCACTGTGCCCAGGTGCTGGTGCTTCCATGGCCTGCAGGCCTCTGGCCTGGGCTGGCTTCAGCCTGATGTCTTGGCTACACACCACCTGGGCAGCCTTTTATCATTTGGGGTATTTTCTCCTGAGTGAGCCAAGGATGCCAAGGCTAAAGACAGCTGGGAGGAGATGGGGTTGTGAGGTGAGCCCAGGCCCACCAAGCTCCGTAGCCTCCTTTCCTGCACCAAGCTCTAACACCCCGACATGTTAAGGTATGTCCAACCAATGTCACTTTTCTCATCTGCAAAATAGGGATAAACAAGAGCATGGGCAGTTTGGAATCATCACCACGTTCACAGAAAGGTCCTATATCAATTGCCTGATTGAAGCTTGCACTCAGGGCACTCAGCAATGATTATAACCTTCCACTCTTTCCATTTCATATTAGACTCCTGCTAAATGATTGATAGAAACTTTCCTCAGGATGTGATGCTCATAATCCACAGTTATAGCTTTCTTAAAACTGCTCTACTCAACCACTAAGACCCTCCTAGGCCCTGCACTGAAATTTTGTGCAAATTCCAACCATTAGCAATGGATATCTAAGACCCCTGGGAAGACTGTCTGTGGCTCAGTATTTCCCTTGGCTGCTAAGGTATTCATGAAACTTGATGGATTCTGAGGTTAAACTCCCCCCAAGGAGGAGGATTTATGGAGGAGGCTTGAGCCAGGCCCTTTCACCTCTCAGCTGAGTAGGTGGAGAGAAAACAAGCAAGTGGCAAGCAAGTTGCCAGAGTGACCTGTGAGGTGCGAAGCCCAGGAGCAGGGTGGTTCTTCCCAACACTGCTCAGAAATTTCAGACATTGAGGGTGGGAGGTGCATTTGGTCTGCCAACTCGAGGACCATTGGTTTTGGAAAGCACTGTTGGACGAGAGGTAGGAGAAATATTTAATGACTACCTACAGAGTGCCAGGCAATTTAGACAAGTAAGGCTATTGGATCCTGAAAGAAAAAAAAAAAATTCTATTCTACAGTCAGGAAATAGAGCCACTGAGAAGTGAAATAACTTGAGCAAGTTTACAAAGATAGGAGTCCAAGTTGGGGACCTAACTCAGTTGACCTAAGGTGAGAACTGAACTCACCTCCTCCAGATACACCAATCTCCACCTATGTATAGGGCAGATCCTCTCGAAGAACAACTGAGGGCAGTCGGAACACCTTCTGCACAACAGGAGAGAAACAGAGACATCGGAGCAGAGGACCCCAGCCTAGCAGCCTGCCAACTGCCGTGGGGAGAGAGAATTCTGGGGCCCGTAAGCTGATTTGTCTGCCTGGGGCACAGGAATGAAGCTGCATTTTAATGTGCAACTAGAATGTAAAAGATCCACCCCAAAAGCTCCCCAAAATGGGGAGGGGTAGTGCTGGATGTCTTTCTCTGCCAAGGTCCTGGCAAGCACCATGGTCACATTCCACTCCACCTTGAGAACGTGGACAGAAGCAGGGTCTGAGCACCACAGCCAGGGTACTACCTTGCTGAGCCCTGGGTCCCAAGACCACTCTAGACCCAGCTGTGCCAACAAGGCAAACCCAGCTGGCGCACACTGGGGCACCCTGGTCAGCATTCAACACAGCGCGAGACCTCACACCGAGGGGACACAGGCGCTCGGCACCCCAGAACACTCCAGGCCTACACGACTCAGCTTCCTAGGGCACCCCTGCAAGGAGGGCTACGGGACCTCCTGGGTAACTACTGCTTCAGCTCCAGGAGCCCTGCCAAGGAGCCCCCTATGTGGACAGCCCAGGACCACCCAGCCCAAATGCTGTCGAGACTCTCGTAGGGCTGAAGACCCCGCGACACCCCAGCTTTCGCCCACTGAGCTTCAGCCATCTTTCTAGGAGATCCTGTGCACAGAGAACCCCCCCAATCCTGAATTTACTTCTGCTATAGCTACCATCCCTAAGTGCCTTCCCTGCAGAGAGCAATGGGACACTCCAGCCCACACCCACCTCAGCTACAGCTGTTTTACCAGGGTACCCCCTGTGCAGAGCACC